CGCCAACAATCATCCCGAGTACGTGTTGTAGCAGTAGAATTAAGACAGAGCCTTTCCCGATAATTGTGAAGCAATGGAAGGAAACGACAAAGTGCATGCCGTCACAACCGTTTACATTATACTTACATGTTGCCGATTCTTGCCGTTGCTGCCGGTTATCTGTGACCTACTTCCAGCCTGGCGACATGAAGCTACCAACTTTAGATCCTTTGGGGCAGGCAGGGCGGCAGGCCAACTCTGTAGCGTCCATTCAAGATGTTTTCAAACACCCATGAACGAAAGGGTGCAAGTCGGCCCATACCATTCATCTAGCTCGAGCCCTTCAAGTATGTCGACTTCCTCCTCCTCTATCAGTCCACCATCAAGTCTCTTCAACCTGCCCCGCTCTACGACAGCGTAAAGTAAGCATCTGAAAATAGTTTCGCACAAGTAGATATTTCCTCGCCATTTTTCTGTATCCCTGCCCTTTGCATCCACGCCGAAGAAGTTGGTGTGTGAACTTTGCAAGACCTTTGCACGTTTTAGATTTCTCCGAGGTTGGTTTCTTAGCCGTATCCCTGGGTGAGGTTATCACTCCGTACTATCCTATTAATTTGAATGCTTCCCATGGAATTTGGTCCCCATAGAGGCTTTCCTCGCTAGAGACCTTCATTATTTTTGGTCCACATCCTCAAGCACCCTCAGTGAAATTGTAAATTATTGAGCTATATGCGCAGTATTGCAAGGTTATGACTGTAGCGCTCTCTAAAGGATAGCAAGCCACTAGTTTTTGTTATCCCAATGCCTCCATCCTCTCTCCGACCCCTTGTATCCGATATACTTATACGGACTGGATCCCAACGCATAGCGCGCCGCGCATTATCGTCCTGTACAGCAGACATTGCACAACCCTAGCGAATCAGCGTCCTTGCAACCTACGTTCGCTGATACGTTCAAACCTTCCCCGCGCCACTATCGTCGCTGGCATTGTGACTCCGCTGAGGTAACAATCGATGCATGTGACTGATCCATCGAGGCCGAGGATGGGGTGAATAACCTGCAGATAATGCAGGAGCAGTACACTCCTCCTCAGAGATGTGCTCCTGACTCCAATCAGTGGCAATTCCAAACCATTTGTAACCCGAATACTCACCAACTCTTTATCAAACTTGCCTAAGAAGAACGTATTCAAGGTCTCGATGGTGAAATGAATACATTCCCTTTGCCGCGTTATTTCTTCTCCTGGCAAGGCGATCCGTTGGATTCCATCAACAAAAGCCTGCTGATAGAAGAATCCCATGCCGTCGTCTTCGAGCAATCGTTGGAGCCTGCACCGACATTCATCCCACATAGGAGCACCCGGCCAAACCCGGGCAAGTGCCAAAATATTCTCCTTTATTCTCTTTCTACGATATTCGTCAAGATGGTTTTGGTTCCCAACGGCTAGGATCGAGCACACAGTAAAGAGATTATCAGGTTCATGGAGGTAGCTAATGTCCTCTTGTTGTACCGAAGCATCGAGGCGAGTTTTCGAGGAGTGTCCAAATGAGGAGAGATAGCCTTCGAGGATTTCTACCAGCCACGGACGATATCCACGTTGTCCGACATACTCCAAGACTCTCAAGGCGCGAAGGACACTGTAGATTCCCGGGCTACCGCTGTGAAGAGCCTTGGCTATGATATTGCCTGTGCTCCAAGGAACATAGGTGTCCGATTTATAATGATCAAACACGACATTGACTACTGCCTCCAAAGATCTGGGCAGCAAGGCATGATATCGTGTTTGAACCACATCGGAGTAAATCCCCAAGACTTCGGTGTGCAGATCACTGGCTTCTATGATAGGAATAAATTTCAGGTTACTCGTGATGAAGCGATCGAGGACATCAAAGACGGCAGCGTCCGCCTCAAAAAAAGAACGGAAGTCGGGATTCGAAATCAATTGGAATGCTCTGGTGAGGGTGTGTAACTCCACTGCAGCTGTATTTGCTTGTTCTCCCAACGGAAGCTTGGAAATAAGAAATTCGGCAAAAACCAGAAGAATTCGCAGAGATGGTTCGATAGAGGCGACATTCGAGGGACGCACATACACGGCAAACATTTCCAAGAGATATGCTGTCATGTCCGAATGTAGATAGTCGCGAACGGCATCGGGGAATGAGATAGCTGCAGCACTTGGTTGGATCATGCTTGTTGTGCGGTGTTGATCCTCTGAACGAGGCCACCGAAATGCGAGAAGAACTGCACAGCATATATCCATTGCGAAGGGATCCTGAGTGCGGATATCAATGGGAGAGAAGACGCCGTTCTCTGCCGCATTCGTAATGAGGTCGATCCAGACCACAGGATGGAAAACCCAATATTCATCCTCGGAGGAATGAGAGAATGCCATAGCACCATTGCTTGCAGCCTCTTTCATAAACAGATTTCCCTCACGATAGTATCCTCTATATTTATCTATCAAGGCCTTGACGCTAGGTGCAGTTCCGACAGCTTCGGTCCGAGGGAGGTCGACGGCAATGTAGCTCTCGTCAGAGAGAAATAGCTTGCAGCGTAGTAATCGCTCAAGTTTCCTCTCTAGGCCAGGCAGTGGCTTCCGATACGCGGGGGACGGCCTAGAGAGACAGCCTATGCATGACCACCATAATACCGAGCCAATATCATTGAAAAGGCCTTGAGCCTTGCTCTGCAATGCTGGATGTAAACCACCAATAGCTTGAATGACGATATTCTGGACAGTAGGATTCGATGATATGGAAAAGAGTTCATGCAGGGCCTCGACCGATAATTCACCTGATACTGACTGTACTGCCTGTGACTCCAATTCTTTCAAGCTCTTCCATTTTCGAACATTGGAGGCAGACTCGCCAGTGGCTGTAATATCCATGTTCGTCTGATACCGGCGGAAACGATACCTGAGGCGATCCACGGTGAACTGCGTCACACGACTGTACAAGACGTGGAGAAGGTCACACAGCGATGTCCGGTAGGGACATTGGGGGAAAATGAGGGTGAGAATGTGTGCCATCAAGTAGGCCGTGTATGTGACGGCTGTAATCGCGCCGACAATCCATGCAATGGAATCTCGCAGCGGACCAAGGAAGATCACAAGGCCAACAAAGAAGATGGCAAGAGCGGTGTGCATAAGAACGGGGAGTAGGCCAATGATAATGAGAACGCGCCATTTCTGCAGTCCTGCGAATCGAAATTGCCGCAGAAGGCTACACTCGCGGGGTGTTCCGGACGGTAAAGCCATGTAGTGGTGGAGCCATTGCTTGACCAGTACCGAGACGAGTGCTGTCGTCAGGCTGAGTGCAAGGCTGGTGAACCAAAGCCCGTTTACCCAGATACTCGTGGCTGAAGCAATGAATGTAGTGTTGGGGTTAAGAGGAGAAGAAGTGACAGTGTCCAAGGAAGCGCCGCTTGCAATAGCCCGCTGAATATTGATCATCTCGAAGAGCAGATTAGCAGACATCTCCGTGTAGTCTACCTGTAGACTCTGAGATGTTTGGACGATGAAGGTAGCGACCACTGCCGAGAACAGACCCGCCTGGCAGAGCTGTGAATGTGACATTCGGAAGAGTAGGAGACAACGTACGAAAACTAGAAGAACATCAACACCGTCTCTCGATTCTTCGACCATATTCGCGTCATATATCGCGCGTTCATCGAGGTACGTCCGAAATACCCTGGAGTTGGGTCCCATTTCTTCACATGGAGCATCTTCAGGATACTTTTCCTCGTAGTTGAAAGGATCGTTGCCTGAGCACAACAAGGATGAGAACGATTTCATCAGCATAAGTATAATTTACCTTTGGGAGGTTGGTAAGGTGTAGATCCTCGCGATCCGAACCTCTTGCTAGACTTGGTAGGATGAATATATTCAGGATACGGTTGTCCTGTAATGCCGCTCTCCTCCGCCTCGACGATTTCGGATTTTGAGTCCTTCTCCGCTTTTGCTTCGGCAATGCCGGCGAGGGTATCAGTATTGGACATTGGGACCTTGGTGGGCCAGAGTGAGCGTAAGAGGCGAGGGACCACCGTACAGCCTTCGAGGCACCACAGTGAACTGAGAGAACAGACTAGAACGGAATCTTCCGGAGTCAAATTGAAAGCGCCCATCAAGATCGAGTACACCGGGAGGGAATTTCTACTCTGTCGAGATATGTCCCTTGTCCGTGGCTATCTTGCGTTGAAAGAGTTGGCAGCGAAGAAAGATTTGTTGTTTCCCGGGGCAAATTGGGAATCCTCGACGAGATGAAAGTTCATATTGTGGAAGTTTTGTCGACAGCCCAGTCGAATCTGTAGCGGCGATGTGGTTCGCGCCTCAAAGTCAAGCTCTTAGACTTGTGCTTACATCTTGAGGGTCATCTCGACTAGCTCTCAATAGCAACGAATTTAGGCTGTACAAAGGACTTGGATATTATACACTGAATTGAACGTGATAAGTTGTAGGGACAGCATTGGACGCGTAAGTAGGACTAAACCTTGACCTATCATCGCCCAGAGTAATCGTCCACGCCCAGGCAATTAGATTCACCCTGCGCGTCACCCCGAGGCGTGTTCTTTGGGACGCAAAGACGTAGCAAAGCAGTAGGCACGTAGTTTTTCAGTGGCGACACCACGCCCGACTTTCGTCACACCTCCTCAGTCTCTTTGTAATCTTCCAGCCCCCCGTCACTGTCAATGTTGACCTCCCACTCAAATAGTATGCACCTCCATCGCCGCCAACAGGGAGTCGGAGCGACCTGTCCCACCGTCAATAGAACCCTGCAGGTGAACGTCGGTACGCGCGACAGTGTGGTCAAGGCTTCAGGGTAAGGCATGCTTGTTATTTGAGGCACTCGCGTCGGAGGCCTCAGGCTCGGAGCTAATGGAAGGTTTCATAATCACAGTGGCTAAATGGTCCCGGTGCGCGCTAGTGAACGTCCAACGAGCATTCAGGCGCATGTGGAAGATAGAAGTTCATGGAAGAGGAATTGATATAACGTTCCAGCAACTCGGCAAGCCACTTCTTTTGTGGGGGTATAGCTCAGCTGGGAGAGCAACAGACTGAAGTGCCGTAGCTAGCTCGTAGGCTTTTCTGGAGGTCCCCAGTTCAATCCTGGGTGTCCCCATGTTTTGGTCAAAACCAATTTTTGTTTCTAAATTCTAAATTCTAACCCTTTTTTGCATGTTTCAAGAATTAACTGTTTCAACTATTGTCTTGCATCCTGAATATTTGAATCCTGAATCCTGGTTCCAGTCTCAAGTCTGGTTCCGGCGTAACTATTACCAAGTGTAATCTGTCACTGCTTCGGTACCTAGTGCCCACTGAATTCAAGTCCTTAGGTTTGGGCACTTCGCAAGCCTCCTTAATTACCGGGTTTTGTTCATCCCTTTCGCCTGTCGTCAGTATGAATCTTACGGATATGAATATTATTCATTTCCGCGAAACAGAAACCCAAGTAGCCAGAAACGTCTAGTAACCATTCAAAAACTGGACTACGTGATAGTCGGTCCTGTCTTGTATTTTCGTTGCTGATGCTCTCCGCTGTAATGTACACAAATAGAAGTTCTCTACCATGACGACTTGTAGTTGAAACCGAAGTGAAACTAGTTGACCCGAGTGCTGTCCAAGGCGACGTCGGCATGATGGCAATTTAAATAATGATCAATGACAGGGAGGGGGAACATCATCGTAGTCATTACTTCGCGTAGAATACCCCATTGCATGTACTTAAGCGGGGATCCATCCTCCTACTTAATCAAGAATGTCAACACCAGTAGTAAAGTTTGCTTCGTCTCCGAAATTGATTGACATTGGCCTAGGTCTCAACTCGTCATCGAAATCCTCGGGAAGAAGCTGGATCCAAGAAACGAATTGTGTATCCCTGAAAATGATAAGTGTCCATGTCACTCAGAGCCACTTCAGCTCACGATCCGACTGAGTTCCTCCACCCTCCCGAAAGGGGCGGCGGCTTTGATTGCGGCTCATGTGGCGTATATCGGGGCTGATGAGACCAATAGGGTTCGTAGCTATCATCAAAAGAAGTATGCAAGTACATGGGCGTTGCTATGGCTGGCGGCTGATGCGGGAAGAAAGGCCGGGGAGGTTGCCGCATCCCGGGAGGTTGATAACGCCAATGAGAAGGTCCGAGTTTGACAGAGGTTGCAAAGTCATGGATGTAGGCGTGTCTAGACAGTCCAGTTCGAGTAACTAGACACAGGTCACGGTCGGAATGACATGAAGGGATGAATGGACTTACTGAGAATCAGATCATGGGGTTGGATGCCCAGCTCACCGGCGAGGGAGCGAGACTCATGCATGAGGAAACGCCAAGCGTCCGCGGTATGAGCTATAGACTGTTCATGAGTTATGTCACAGTCTATCTGCGCTCCCGGAGGGACCACTATCGGCCAGCTGAGAGATTTTCCATCAGCGATTACATTTAGTTTGTGGGAAAAGAAGTCTACCATTGAATATCATCTGTCAAACTGAACGGATTGACGGGCTGACGGGTCATCGGAAAGTCCTTCCAGCAGAATTGAGTACCATGGCACGCTCTCTCAATGACAAACTTGGCGAAGTCGTCACGGAATGTGTTTCCTAACAGTACAAAGTCCTTGAATGATTTACCAGACGCCGTGTGTCCTTTGTGTCGAGGAACATACCCAAAATCTCCCACTGAAAACCGACATGGAAGGACTCCCAAGCTTGTGTACCAAGCATGGCCGTGAGATTTCGCGTCCAGGCTTGACAATCTCAGCTGGCGAAGAGAAGGCGCTTGTCCCTTCACCAGACCATTGAATGGTTCATCTACGTCAGTCAACAATGCCCTTGTCCGCTCGGGAAGGCCATGAGGCTCCCGGGCTTTAGGAAAAAAACCCTCAACCAATGCCGCGACATGATGGAGGCGCATAATCTCATCGTCATCTAAGGATCGATATCCATAAGCGACTGCTGGCAGTCACGACTATGAATAAATGAATACTCACCAATCAACCCGTTTCTGTTCAATATCACCGAACCTCGGGGTGGCAAAAACTGTAAGAGGTCATGAGAATCGGTTCGAATTAATAGGCCTTTTATAGCATTAAGTGAAACGCACTTTCATAGCAGCAGATCCTATAGTATCTGCCAGGCTGTAATTTCTGGCGGTCACCCATGTGCCTTCCTTGGGCGGCGGGAGGCCCATGATTAAATTTTTACCCCCGTCTGCCGCGAAGGCCACACTCTGCACGTTATTCAATGGTGAGCCTCAACCGGCGCTTGCATAATGGAGGCGAACGACCGAACCTCTATGACGTCTTGCACTTGTGAGTCGGTTAGCTCGAGCTGTCGTTGAAGGTATGCGGCGGCGTTCTATGGGGGCGCATGAAAAAAAAAATCAATAAGATCAAAATTAATCAAAAACAGTAGAGCGAACATGTCCGGAGAGTAACTTACGGAAATATCCACGTACTAAGTATACAGGCATAAATTCAATTTGAAGAAGGTCTTCCGTCGGAGTAAAGTACTCACAAAATGCAGAACGGTGTTTATGCATCCAGCTAAGCCGAATTTGTTGAGAGAATCGATTAGGAGATTCTCTGGAGATCGCCTTTGGACTGATGACGATGAATTATTACCATCTATTTTCGCCACAGGAAAAAAATTCGTACCATGAGATAGGACAACAAACGGCGTTCCGGCTTCATTTGCAGATACCCCGATCATTTGGGGTAGGCTTGGATGGCTATATGTACCCCAGCTTGATGTTAGTATAGCCACACATGTGGACGAGGGAGTCCGGGACTTGCTATAAATTTTGGAGGATCTTCACGTCATGGATCCACTCCTTCAGAAGGACAACGTTAACCCGCAGCCAAATACGAAGCGAGAAATAGCATCCTCGCCTTAACAGCGCTGGCCTTGGTACCTTGATCGTACCTTCGGATAAGCGTAGGTTCCCCGTAGACGAGTGCTTCGTTCACGTCCGACCACCAGCCACTGGAAGTAGAAGCCCCAAACGAACCCTTCAAACGAACTTCTGACTGGTGATATCTTCGGAACTAGGAACCGGTGGTATGAAGATATGGAGAAAGGTGTGGCTGTTTATTCACTTACACCATGGTTGTCAAGGTCGTCGAGGGCGATTTGGAAGTCGTCTTGGACTGTTTCTGCGGGTTCGACTCTGTCGGTTTCGTGATATGGTGGAAGCGTTGGAGAACGACGTGGCTTATGAACGACGGTTCCAAGGGCGCGGCTGCCCTGTGCTTCTGTGACGAGCTTGGAATCGTGTTTCTGGGCGGACGCTTCGACTGCGTATTGGATGTTGATGAGCGCTGCTACCTACGCCATGGGGTTATTGATATTATGAATGAGTGGTGGTAAACATGCCTGGAACGCCTGTGATGCCTCGTCCAGCAGTTCGGCGTATTCGTTTAACGCGTTTTCAATCGAATTTTTGCGTAACAGACGGCTGCTCCATTTAGCTTGTGTCTCTTTTACCATGAAGGCGTGTATCATGGTCAGTGTCCTGCATAAAAGTAAGCCCGACGGCCTCCTCTAAGATATGTGTATTAGGACGCACTCTTGAAAACGACTGATATTCTTCAGCAGCAACGGAGATGCAGATTCCCATCTTCCTTCCATCTGTTCGTTAATGTTGAATAAAATCCGAGCGCATTTGTGGACAAGGCGATGACAGGCTTCTTTGTTAGACTGGAAAAATGATTTAGACGCGTTACTCGGTACATAGATAGACGGCTCGACGAACTTGAACACCCTGGAAGTCTTTGAGATTCTTCAAAAGAAGTCCTTCGTAGAACACACACCTTGACTGTCTCCAATATTCTCTCCAAAATGGCGAAAGCAGCACACGCCGGCGGAAAGATGGCCATCGTCGACATCTCCTTGGTTAATCCTGATGATAGGATCGCAAAATTAAGCACTGTGCTTGTACGCGCTATTACACGGATCTTTTTCAAGGCCATTTCGGTGGCAGCGAGTGAACTAGGAGCGCCTAGTCAAGTGTGCTGTGTGGGAGACCACAGCTGTCGGAATTTCGGGAATGGTAACCCCCTGTCAATTGCCATTTGCATCTGGGTCTGATGGAACGCGTGGGTGTTTCCAAGTAGGTTTTCTCGGGCGCGAAAGGAGAAGAGATGCTTAACAGTGCTTTGGACAGCTTGTGGGAATAGAACAGTGATAGCCAAGACGAAGCAATCCGACGTTTGTCTCCCACGATAATTATGTATCATAGGCGACATTCGCAGCCGGAATGCTATGTATTGTACAAGCTCGAATCATCTCTGTTGGTGCTGATAACGAACGTGAGTCGTGATAGCGTTCTGTATTGTGATTGGAGACATGATCGGGCCGAGGTCCGGTCCATCTGAGCCTTTACAAGTGTACTTGGTCACTTTGTGTCATTTGTGAACTCGAAAGAAGTGTGCTTAGTTCTGCCTATGCCTCAGCCTTATGGACTTACAGGCGAGTCTCGGATGCGGCCTAGATCTGTGTTTACGATGTTGATATCGGACGATCTGGTGGATCAGAATTTACTACGAGAGATATCTGTGTACAGTAGGGGCGTATAACCTTCGCCTGCTCAAGGATGAGCACTCCCGCACGGTAACGGGGTTGATTTCGACATGAATACAACGAGGTCATGCCGAGTAGTCAATTCATGTTTTGGACTCACCTGTTGATCAATTACCCTTGCTTGCGGCACGGGATATGGTTGCTATCATCGGTCTGTCGCTGCTCGACCTATTGCACCTAGGACTGTATTGAACCAGTGAGGCCGTACTGAATGTGAAATGCCTGGATTTTATTAGTAGCATTCTTGGTGTCCGGCCGTATGCTACGAACCAGCGGATGTCATGGTTGACTCCGACACTTTGAAGGAGTTTAACCGGCTTGGGAAGGTGGATTCCTTGACATCAGCAAATATTTGAGTATTGATTTTGTTTTAGTTCGAGAACCTACGATTCCTAGCCCAGCCTTACCAGAGGATCTACGGTGGAGTAGTCAAACTCTTAGACTCGGCTCGGATTGTTTATGCTGTTAAGCGGGACTCCAAACCGACTCTGAGTGGTTCAGGGTCCACTTACTGCACCGTGATCGGTGCAAGTACACTCCTTTCAGTGA